CCTGCGGCGCGCGGCCACCCGTGGCCGGCGCTGCTCGGCTTTCCGCGCCCGGACGCGCCCTCGACGGCCGACGCGCCCCCGCTCGAGCTGCAGCTGTGCGCGGCCCCCGCGGCCGCCGCCGCGGCCGCTGCGCGCGGCGTCCCGAGCGCGTCGGCCGGGCGCCCGGCCAGCGTGCCGGCCGCCTGCTGGTCGGCCGCCGTGCAGCTGCCGCTGCATCAGCTGCCAGGCGCGCCGCGGCCGGCGGCGGTCGTGGTCAAGCTGCCCTACCCCTCGCCCCAGCCCGCCGGCACCGGCGCGGGCACGGGCGCGGGTGCGCAGATGCAGGGCGTGGCGTACGTGACGCTGCAGCTGCGAGACATCCCAGAAGCCGCCGGCGGCGGCGCCCGCGCGCTGCACGTGCTGCCCACCTACCAGCTGCTCAACCAGCTGCCCTTTGACGTCCAGCTGCGCCAGGCCGGCACCCACCAATCGCCGCAGGTGAGCCGCGGCCGCAGGCCTCCGCTGGCGCCGCTCGCTGCCCGCGGCCCGACGCCCGCTGCCCGCCCCATGTGCGAGCGCGAGACCCCTTCCGCGCGCTCCGCACGCGCCGCTCCTCCAGACGCGTGCCCCGTCGCGAACCGCGCCCTTACCCCCCCTCGCGAAACCCATCCCGTCTCTGCAGGTCGCGCCGGCGGGCGGGCCACCCTGCAGCGTGCTGTGGGGGGACGCGAGCCTGCCCCTGAAGCTGCAGCTCCGCGCGGCGGAGGCCGGGTGGTCGTGGTCCGGCGCCGCCGCCCTCGACGCGCCTGGCGAGAGCATACTGAAGATGCGCCACCGCAGCCGCGGCGAGACGCTGCTGGTCCGGCTGGAGGTCACCGCTGCGCGCGCTGCAGCAGGGGGCGCGCTCGCGGTGCTGCGGGCGGTGGAGGAGGGCGGCTCATTTGCGCCGTACAGGTGCGGGCTGCTCGCCTGCGGCCGGCGGCGCGGGGGCGTGGGGCCGCTTGGCTCGCCCTTGCTCGGCAGCGTTGTGGAGCCGGGGTGTGCAGGCCGGGGTGTGCTGTGAACACCTCCATGATGGCCATGTACACGCATGCGTGTACACGCATGTGCGCGCGCGCACACACACACACACACACACACATAGACACGCGCGTGCGCGCACGCACGCACGGATGCACGGATGCACGCGCACGCACGCACGTACGCACACACGCACGCACGCGCGCGCACACACACACACACACACACACAC